GAGGTTCACCACGCCGCATTTTGTCGCGCGAATATATTAACGTGATGACTAAATAGTTACATTCAAAAAATACTTGACAACTGCTTCTGGGTTTGGAGTTAAACACTGGTAATACAGTATGCAAAAGTTCTTATGCAAGTCTTTCTTGAAATCTAACACCTTTGACGGTTTCATCGCAAACTAATAGCAAAATGAAACAAACAAAGAACTCTTTTCGTCCTCTGTAATTGTCTTTTTTCACATTGCTACTATTACCCGAATCCATCAGTTTCCATTCCCATTTTTGTTCTGCGGGCATCATACTTGTTCGTAACCTGGTGACATTATATATATATATATATATATATATATATATATATATATATAAACGACATAATGGATTACTTCCCTATACCTATAAAATTAAAATTCCAGGAAACCTTAATGAAATTCAATGATCGACCGATGGGTATTGGAGACCGCTGGATTCGAACAATGATCATGTGTTGACTGTTCCTGGAGTTAACGTGCAGACTGTGTGGCCAGGATTGGACAGAGTACGATAGTTGGCGATACGGAGGTCCTAGCTTTGTTTATTCAAAAGATTGGCGATTACTGAGTGCCACTTGGAGTAAGCCTAGCTACGGACATCACCTGGAGAGCTAGAAGCTTTCACTAATTTTAAGATTCCTCGCGGGGTTTACGTAAAGGATCATCTACCATACTTCTGTAATCGGTCAACTTCCCACCAAATGATTCGTGATCTGATCTAATTAAAAATGCTTTAAAACTTTGACAAGCAAGCCACTCGATGCAAAGCTGCTTGGGACGTTAATACACGCGGGAAAAAACTCATGAGGAGGCCACCACAAAAAGGAGAATGTGATGTTCACCGCGAACTACAACGGACTTGATGACAATAGTAAAATAAAGGCAAGGTGCAGTCGAAAATTAAGTCAAAATTGACCACTATGTGGAATTGATTTGAAAAGATGCGTTATAGAAAAATCCTGTTATTGAAAACAAGTGAAGTCCTTTTCAGTGTTTGTAGTGCAGATTCCTGTTAGATACAATTGCAGGCTGTTCGTGCGGTATGTGGGCTGGTGCACACTGAATTGGTGTTTTTCAGTAATCAGGACGTATAAGAAGACTGTGGTCCGGATGGACATTCACGTTATTCAAGGTGTCAATTTCAACTGCTTTATACTTATTGCCTGTCTTAACGTCGCCGTCGCATCTAATCCTACCAAAAACAGTTTCTGCATAACTCACCTATTTCCATCTGTCGTTTTATCCTGTTTTTGCAAGCATCTCGGAAAGCAACTTGAGCCTTGTTATAGTCCGTCATTACCTCGATAAAATTCCGAGATATTGTTGAATACTTCAAAAATTAAAAAAGTATCACCTTACATACCTGAGTCTTTCGAATCCGAAGATCAGCCGAGGATTTGTCGGAATTTTCATCGTATTCGATGTTCATTTCCATCTCTAAAACATCATGTACAAAAACGAATTTAGCGTACGCTTTAGCTTTGCCCGTACTTTGTGGGCAATCATTTTAATCTCGGACATGGCTTCCTCCAATTGCGCTTTTGTTGCTGGAGCAGAATAAAATCATGTCGATCGAACATACTCTCATCCTGATTAGGTGAGGACAAAATATCACTGTGTTTATTTTTAACATCGTCCACTAAAGCCTGGACACGCTCTATAAGGTTCCGGATTTCTTCAACCTACGGCCTCAAATTGATAACAAAGTGAGAAGCTCACCTGAGCGAAAAAGTCGTTCATGTACTGCGGACCATCTAGAGCCAGAGATGGATCCGGCAGATCATTCGCATCTTCGGGTTGAGCCTAACAAACGGAATTCGATAAGTTAAATAGGCTTAGTTTCGAATGTAAACCTCTAAAAAAATTGTTATCAGACAGAAACTCACAGCCCGAAGAGCGCCAATGAGGTCTTTTGTCATCGGTCAAAAAAGTCGTTCGGGAATTTTGAGATACGCGCGGTAAAATTCAGCTTAACCACGACCCCCTGTCTTCATTTCAGTTCAGCTGGCACATAACGTTATGTGGCCCGGTCCAATCGTGCATCCAGAAAGTTGTCTTATCAGCTGATCTAAATCAGTCAGTCAGTCAGTCAGTTTGCACAGGACAGGAGATGGCCACGGCCAATCGAGC